ACACAGCGCAACTACAGCGACCAGGTCCTAATGCATCGCGTATGAACGACCTCCCCGACGAGATACAGCACATCGCACAGGGCTTCATCCCTCTGGGAACTCTGCTCTCGCGCCTTGCGCAGAAAACCCATAATCAGCTTGCAGACGAGATCATTGCCTTGGCTAAGATGCCCGCTCCTGCGTCTGCGGTCAATGGCAATTCGACACATGTTGGCGCTATGATAGACGATACCTCGTCGGATAATCTTGGCAAGAAGGCCAGATTACTGAACTTCGTCCAGGAGAAGCACGCCGAATGGGTAAAGGCGGCGGTGATCACGAAATGGAGTAGGAACGCCGCATCCGTCAGCAAGTTGATCGACCTCATGTTTCTTATCAACATGCAACGGGCGAAATATGAGGAAATCACGGTGGAGATGGCCAAGTTCAAGGGGTCCCTGACCTTCGCGCGACTTCCAAATCCCGACCTACACACTGCGCTTCACGTGCTATCCGGCGGCAACGCCCCCTGGATGCCGGATCTCAACTACATCGAACCACCTCCTATGACCCATAAAGAGCAGTTGCAGTGGTATGAGAACCTGAACACGCTGCTATCGCTTCGTCTCAACTTAGAAGACTACGACAACATCCCCTACCACTTTCGGAATTACACTATTAGTTCCGGACGTGTCACTTTCAAAGTTACTGGCGAGTTTGAGGTAGACCTCACTATAGCCGACGAGGACTTCGACAAGCAGTTCTGGTTTATTGACTTCCGATTCGATTTCACTCCCGCGCCCGCCGAACTATCGGAGCCGCTAAGGATGTTTCTGGAAGGCAGAGTCAATGATGTGCTGGAGAAGGATGGCCTGTCTGGATGCTACAAATTTCTCCATGAGTTCGTGTTAACTCACAAGATTACCGAGTTTGTGCGCCAGGCTTTCGAACTGAGTAAGAGCCGTTGGGTAGACACGCTCAAAGTAGAGCGACTCAACCGGGCCATGTCCATTCAGTATTGGGTCGGCCGATACCCGCCAGAAGGCCCGAAAAGCTGGATCATCTTGGGCATCCACAGCGGCAAAAGGGCAGACGCTTCCGAAGACCCTACATCTACGAGCCACCTCACTTTACGTTGGTTCAGGGACAACAAGGAGGTGAAGGACGTGGAAATACCACTTAATGATGCGGACATCTCGACAGAAGATCTGTTGAACCGTGTCATTGGAAAACACGTTGGATATATCCTCAGCTCGATATATTCCAAGTTAAAAGATCATGGACGGTTCATCAAGCGGGAATCCGGCATCGCCCTAGATGTACAAACAGACGACCCGACACAATCATCACTTATGATGCAGCTAGCCCACAACTATTATGCTACAGTCGGCATTAGTCACAGGACTGGCTTGTTCTCGATAAAGCCGCAGTCGAATGTAACTTGGAAAGGGGAACAGAGGCTGAACTGGCAATCAAAAGATCCTATTCAGGACGGGGTCGCTTGTTTAGAAGGCATCAGATGCCATTACGTTGTAGACGAGATCATCCGACGTGGGAAGACCACAGGCTGGTTCGCCAGTAGAGGACCCGTAAAGATGGATGTCGTCAGGGAGGTGATACCCTCGCGGGAGCTGGGCCAGCTTATGTGGCTAAAGCGACGTGGTTGGACAGACGGATGGTATTTGATGGTAAACCTGAGCTTGAGCGGGGACAAATGGTGTCTAGTTGAAATGTGAGTCTTGAAGTCATCTCATTTTTGAAACGATATTAACAGAGCTGCAGCAATAAAAAGCACCCAAGTGGTGAGGCTCGAATCTCATCATATACCCAGCTACCGCTCAGCTCTTACGCACCAAACGTCGAAGATAAATTCTTCTCCAATCTAACCGTCTTCACCGTCGCCATGATCTCGCACATCACAGATATGAGAACATTACACCAGCGACGCATCAAACACACCACATACGATGGCATTAACAACTCGCTTCCCGCGAATATGAAGATACCCGCTATCTTCATACGGCTCTCGGACATATTGAGACCGCGGCAGTCGCATGAACCGCATGAACCGCAGAGGCGAGCCACATCTTGGGCGTTTGATTTCGTGCAAGTGATGTTTAAAGGCATACGCAAGCCATCTACAAGGCCAGGAATATCGGACAGTGCCAAAGGCGCTAGTAGCGGTGCAGAGAAGGCATCACTACAGAAGGAGTCATTGCATACATTTTTGGATGCTCGGCTTAAGGTTTCTGATCCGTCTCGGTTTGGCCTCCTCAAGGGTCACGTCGAACGCGACGTGGCATTTAGCAGGCATCTCGGGGTCTTCGCGCTTCGTTTGGAAGCAGGCGTTGGGAGCACCGTACTAGATGTGCTTGCGCATCGCCTACAGGCCATTGACAAACTAGCCGACTGCATCGACGCAATACGCCGGAGTGACAGAGATATACAATGCGAAGAGATCACGCTTACCAAGATCGTGGTCACCTATACCGATCGATTGAAGCGCTCGGACGGCACGACAGCGCAGTCACGTAGCGACCGCTGGAAGGCAACGTTGGAGCTTGATCCAAATGGCATCAACTTGTTACTCGAGAAGGGCAACCCGCAGCTGCGTGCGTTAGATCTCTTCCGAAACCTGGCTAATTCGGACCTTCGGTGCTCGAAGCTACCATTCTTCTTATCAAGTACGCTACCGATACAGCGTGCTTTGAACTCAGTCGAAGATGCCTGGGAGGACCTCGCGATGAACAACCAAGGTCGTGTCGAGGTGTTTGCGGCGCACCTGGATTGGTTCAATATCCACTACTATCTTCCTGGGTCGAACAGGAACCCCCAGGCCCAACGACGTCTGACACTCCAGATTCGGCTAAGGGAGCGTGACGACGGCGTTGAATGGCACCTTTCCCGCGAGGAACCCGGCACGGTCAAGAAGCCTGATGACGAATTCAAGGCGGCGCTCGAAAAGGTCTGGAATGCGGAGAACAAGGTGTGGCGGTCCCTAGTCGACAGCGCGGCGAGTAAGACGGATCACCATGTAGGAGATCTTATCAGGGCGGTCGACGAGGCGATTAGGCGGCTCGCGATGCAGTCACCAACGGTTTTTAAGCAAAACCAACCGAGAGGCCCGGTGCAGAATAAAGCGCAGGCCATGTATCATAAGGCGATGGCTACCAACAAGGCTCGCCCACAACAGACGGGGCACGTCGTCATCCTGGATGACTAGGAGACAGCGCCAGAAGATGAATAGGCGGTCCAAGGAGTAGCAAGTGCACAAAAAGTTTCATCAGAGAATGCGATGTAAATTGGGGGGGCGGTTGTCGGCCATACTTGAGATACCCTTAGGAAACAGGCATGAGGAAGAGATTATCGGACAGCCTAGGCGCTCCAATCGAAATATTAGTAGTAATGATATTCTGCGTGCCTCTTCCCAACTATAGGTGAAGTGATATTGATTGATATTGATATTGATACTGATGCGTGCCGCCAGTGTGGATACTGCATAGATACATGGAAACTCGTCTACTTATCGAAGACGAGATGGCCAAGCGAGACGATGAACCGATACCTTCTTCTGTGTATATACCAAGGACTGCAAGTTTGAGGCCTCCTTTCTGGTTGAAACACGACTAAGTTTTGGGTAGTTCGCCTCGCTTACCTAGACCAGTTTCGCGGCGCCGGACCGTGCTGTAGGGGCCCTGTAGCTTAGGGGCTTATGCCTTATCTAGGCGCTGTAGATGCAAGTATATGCAGGTAAATACAAGTAAATGCAACCTCGGGGAGTCGAAGCGATAGCCCCTTCAGGCTTGATGATGTCAGGAAATCAATGTATTGTCGCTGATTGATTGATCGCCGATCTCTATTGACCAAACTCATAGATTTGTGTTAGACAAGCTTGCGAATCACTTACTGTCAGTCACATTCGCTATAGATATTTTTCATAGTCGCGGGCACGACTCGAATACAGACAGCAGAGCTTACAGGATGTCGTGTAAGTCCCAAGTCCACCTCCTTGTTTGCCCCTCCTGGTCCCCCCTCTTACCTTGGGCTTGCATCCGGCGCACGCATACATGCAGCAACCTACGGGTACACACATGTACGAACGATGAATTGCTACTGACGAACGGAGGAAACAGTCTTCACAGGGACGACCAAGCTCGTCAACACCTCTCCCGTCCCCCCGTCCGTCACCAAAGCCGCCGCCGTAGCACTCCTTCACGACCATGCATTCTTCCTGAAGACGGAGCCGCACTACGTGTCGCACCGGGCCCTGCCGCCGCCCGCGGACTCGTCCAACGAAGACGCCAGCACGGCCAAGCTCGCGTACCAGCTACCACCAGGCATCGAGCCGCTGGGCAAACCCGCCGTCAAGCTGTACGAGGTGGTGGACAACGTGCCCAACCCCGTGTGGAGCAGCAGCGTCGTCAGCAAGGAGGAGTTCGTCGACCTGGCCGACGGCCTGTGGGTGCGCATCCGCAGCCCGCTGGCCGTGGTCATGGAGACGAGGTGGACGATCCGGGAGCGGAAAGGAGGGGACGAAGAGGGGGGGTTGGAGTTGGTGGAGGACGTGGATATTAGCTGCTCCAAGCTCCTCCTGGGTATCGTCAAGGCTCAGGTCGATAATAATTGGAAGCTGATCCATGCTAATATCATGGCTAAGTTGGTTGAGGATGCGAAGAAGGAGACGGTGGAGGAGTGAGGGGTGGATGTGAGACTTAGATGGGAGGATATTATACATACCTCCTTTGTGCCTGAGCGAATATATTTGGCGATGCTATATTAGACATGCACAGTTAAAGGGATAGATCTGGTTCCAATCGCAACTAGCCGTGTGAAGCTGCGATCATTCTCCCTATGCTACTCGTAACTGGTCATGTTGATTAGAGACTGTCAGACTGTCAAGGAAAAAGGCAACGGGTTGATACTTCATAAAAGAGGCAATGTCTTTGAGGAGCACAAAAAGATATTAGAAAATATTAGCACAGCTCTACATGGAATGCAAGGAATTGAAGCAAAAAGTGAATTGCCAGCTGCAGGGTTCGAACCTGCGCATCTCTCGATAATGGTGTTCAAAGACTCAAAGACTTAAAACCACCGCCTTAAACCACTCGGCCAAACTGGCAGATACGTTAGATTGCACCGTATGTCGCATTAAAAAGCTGACCTCGGCCAAATCGGCGTGTAGCGCTAATACCAGGTGACTAATTCGCTCTTATTGGGCATTATAAACTCTGACGCTTCTTGGTCCACAACTGACCCGTTAGTTTTACCCCTATTTACTACCCCCTTCTACCCCTTTTTATAATTGTCAAACATCCGAGTGCATATGTCTCCTAAGGTGCTGCCTACCTTAGCCAGATGAGAGCTGTATGTAAATGGCCTTATACTTCTGCGAAATAGGTAATACTTCAAATGTCCTGCGTCAAGGCACAGCAAAATGGGAGGCCTTAATCCAAGGTCAGTCAACTTCGGCGATTCAACAAAGGCACAAAGGAGATCTAGCACAATTAAATGAAGCAGAAATTTTTGTTTTCATAATTGCGCAGCACTATCATACAGGCCATTATTATCCGGGAATCCTTTTACCAGGAGCTATTAGTCTCCGACAACAAAGGAAATGGAACTTTCTATATAACGGTGACAATCACCGTCGTCATATTTCCCATGTCTATACCAGACCAAGGCCCAACAAGATGGAGCCGACGGGCTCGATAGGAGCGACCGTAGCGCTAGTCGTAGTGATCCCAGCCCCGATCATCTAGATGTTATTACCATCGTTAATGAAGTTGCCGCCGTTGTCAAAGTGCTCCTCGAGCTGCGCTGGTTGGATACTGCGCACGATGACCGGCACGGTGACAGCAGGACCAGCGCAGCCATAATGAGGCCCAGGGTCTCGGCAACGACGTAGTGCTAGAGCATATCTCGATGTGTTCGAATAGGGTAACGTTAGTAAATGGGTCTGTCGAACATGACTATCGCAAAACCATGGGCTACGAAACTGAGATTGAGCAAGTACTGCGAGGCAGTAACAACTTGCTTCGCCTTGCGAGCTTCGGTCGAAGGGTCGCTGATGCTGGAAGCGTCCTTGCGGCCGGTGTAAGCGATTATCTTGGAGGCGCTTCTACCGTTAGTCCTCCGGATGAACACGTTGTATCCGGCGGTAATCATCACATCAGGGTGAATTGACCATCCGGTGCCGAAGTCGAATTTATTATCGCCTAGGCTCTTATGCTTGACGAAATGTTTGAGGGTTTCTATGCTGGGTCGTCAACACGATAACTGGACAGTGGTTCAAAGGCACCAGGTATGTAGGCCAGCATCTATGTATATTTGCCGCTGGCATGAGGTGCTTTATGTCAATGGGCTTGCGGTGATCACCCTCGAAGGTGGAGTCGAAATCCCGGTTCTCATGCGGAATGAAAACTGCTCTGTTTGCTTTGGGCACCTCCTCTTTGCTCGTGTCTAGACCCCAAACGTCAGCGACGGTGGTCGTAGTATTGTTTAGAGCGGCATTATTTGCTCGCTGCCTGCGCATTGATGCCTTGAGACTTGGTGGTGATAGTGTCAACGGGATCAGGGGAAGTCAGCACGGCCATTGTGGAGGGAGAATAGCAGTGAGGACGGGGATGAAGGTTAGTAGATCATGAAAATGTCAAGGTAGGTAATCCGAAAAGCAATGCCTATTAGTTACGTACCTATCCTTAGGACTTACATACGTGTGCATGCGAGATAGGTTTATGTCCCTGTTACAACTTGTTTGTACATAGTCATCGAAGACTTCAGCATCAAGGTATCTCGACAATCCCGACGAGAATCCTACATGCCTCGTCGCCGGAATTACACCTCTAGTTGGTTGATGTTTAAAGATGGAGAGACTGAGCTGATGTCAGTAGGAGATGCTCCCTGGCCTGACATTTGCCCGGCTAGCGAAAATATTGCTTAGGCCTGACTCGCTTCACAAATCGTCTAGAGACTTCGCAGAAATTTGAAATTGAACAAGCATTCTCCGAGGCAAGTCAAGACCCCGAGATAGGTTAGAGATGCTGCTAGAGGATGATCCGCCGTTAGGGTTCAGGTCGAAAGTTGAGGATGTTCCCGCAGATCTCGACAACAGATCTGGACCTCTGCGACACGACATCACATGGAGCTGAATGATATCCATCCAAGTTAGCTGCCCACAGGAACCGTGTTTTATATGCAAGCTACGCTCCGAAGGTAGCTATATCATTTAGCTGGACCTCTTGTCGATGTATCTAGAGAATCTAAAGCTGAAGCTGTATCAACAGTATCTACCTAGTCGTGCTAACTTCAGGTATGACCACACCAAAGTGGCTCAAAACTGATCGGGCACCAGCTTGGATGAGACCGTTCCCTTTGAATATCTAGTCAGTACGAGATACATATAAGTTGGGGTGTAGCCGCCGTCTTGTGTCAAAATCGAGGCCAGTGGAATTCTGTGCTAGACGCCTGCGCAGTGTCGTAGGCAATGCATTCGAGGTGTAGTAAAAGGCATCTGATTTATTCACGAGTCGTTGGTAGACTATGTATTTTATACGATACATGACTGTTTCACATTGTGATCCCTAGAGCCCCAGTATTAACATAGTAGCTACCCGTTGTTGGTGTTCTGATATGTGGCTCTGGGTCGCCTATTGTGCTCCATGGCGCATCCCGGGGAGAATTACTGCCTTTTGCTTTCAAAGCGGCTCGAAAGGGTTCAAGTTGGGCCTTTCGTCCATTGAACACAACTACTTGATTTGGTATGTATGTTCTGATCATTGTGTGCTATGAATTGTTGTCGATCTAGTAAGAAACAATAATGTGTCAGTCTCTAAAATCATCTTAAAACTAAGGCTATACTTTCGAGCGAGGTCTCAGGCAAAAACGATCCTCTTTGAAAAGGGGACGGCCTGGCCTGGTATATCGCTGTACCTGTTATATGCGAAAAGGGGCTTGTAAGAGAGATTCATAGAGTCTTCACCTAATTGTCAATTTTCCTCGTTAAGTACTAAGACTTCTCTTTATTCGTATGTGTCTATATCATATAATCACTTTAACGGCTTGTGCCTTCGCAATCATTGGCGCTGACTAGGAGAGTCGTTGATGGAGTGGAGATCCAAGTAGGATGTACGTTCGAATGAAGCAGGTTTAATATGATTATGTCATCTAGGCACTCCTACGCTTCAACCATCACGTTGAGTGCTCGTCTAACCTAGGTCGGCTATTTAGCCAATTATATGTACCTCGTGTTCCTTGGAGCCTTGCGGCCCGGCGACGTCTCTCCCTTAGATCCAGCCACAATTTTCGTATAATCAAGAAGTTGTTTGCGAGGACGAAAAGCCCGTCAATCATCTAGTAGGCTAGGGAGGCGAGATCTCCTATCTCCTCCCTGCATTCCGACTTTTACGTTGCCTTTGCAAGATGGTTTGCCATTAACTAAGGCATGCAACATATCAGGTGTTGTCACACCGCCTAATATCACTGGTAGGGAGAGTTCTACGCCAATGCAACTTTGACTACGTTGGAGGAGTTCTACAAGCGTATGCTCTCAGACACCGATATCAGAATCCTCACAGTTTGTTTGACGTACTAGATTCGAAAGGTCGTTAACGTTTGCTACTTGGTAGCTAGATGGATACTGAATGCTGACTGTCTCAGTTTGTTGCCAGCTCCTTGGGTCCCTGTTTTCTCCTATTTGAAGGGCCAATATCAGGATCCTGAGTCTGCAGATATCTGGATGGCAGACTCTAAATCACACTCTCTGCGGTGGACAAGATGGATGAACTGCCCTCGGCAAATGTGGGAAGGGGCCGTCATATGAAGCGGGACATGTCCAATCTAGAACCTACTGTCTCCGCATCTAGAAAGCATCAGCGCTTTAGATGTCCTCTGGATGTTACTTTGCTTGATTCGAGCTTGGCGTGGGGTTTGATTTTTTACATGGGATTCATCGATGTGGTTATCACTGAAGGACATGCGCTATCCTCAACTCCTTTTATTGCTGAAGTGATATTTTCAATATACACATGGTCTATGAATATTGATGGAGATTATTCTTTAGATCTGGTGGTTTATCAGACAGACATAATAACCATGGAGGTATCGCTTTGGGAAGAGTCGAATGTCTTGCGTAAGAATCGGACTCTTCCTATGTCGATTAAGTCTCTTAAACCACGGGGGAGCAATACCGACGAACATAAGCTCCGAGAAACTGTGAATTAACGCAGTTGGCGCGCACATGATGACATTCGGCAGCAAGAGTGTGAGGGAAAACCCTGTCGTCTGTGCGTAGTCGTAGGAATCCGGTATCAAGGTTGGTGCATGCCCGGGTGTGTCACGGCCAACTGAGACATTGCTAGAAGAGTATTGATAGGCGGAAAGTCGAACTATAAAGCAGAGCCAAGACTGCTAGAGCAGTTCAAAGCCTTTGCCGCTCGAGACCCTTATACTAGTGCGAGGACGGGTTTGCACAGGCAGAGAGTTAAGATTAAGGAGACAGTACTGAGACGACTACCCTGAACAGTAGGACTTCTTGTCAATCTCATGGCCTCCATGAAAAAACTCAAACAGAGAGACTGCTACGGGAAGTAGGAAGGATGACATGATGCGGCGGGCCGAGGGTCTAAGTGTTGCGCACGGCATCAAGACGACGACATAATGCCTGGAGATGCCGTAGCCTCAGTGCGGACGGCGGTGTGCCGGTGCAGTCCTGACACAGCAGGCCTGATGACACTTCACATATTACCTTCCAATTTGGTCAATTTAGTTGAAGCTATTCCAAAGGACTAAAATATGCGATTGAGGTCACCTCACAACTTTTGTTTCGACCGTTGCGCTACGGAATACTAACCTCGCTTTGTCATAGCGGTCAACTACTAGCGGTATAATGTCCGTTTAGGAGGAGTTCGCATATGAAATATTGCATACAAATATTCCGACGCTCCACTTGGGATGGCAGAACGATGGAGAAGTCTTGACTTAATGTGGACTTGCACCGGTATTGTGAAGGTCGGGGACCGACCAAGGCACTAGAGCTGCGAACTCTACATCGGACAGTAATCTCACATGAAGCAAGATCCATTTCTACGAGACGAGTTCACTCGCCCACCGGCGCTGTTCAAT